GGAGAATTTATTGATAATTTTAGGAACTGAGGATAAGCTGCTCACGGTAGCTCACCCAGCAATGGTCAGAGCGGAAACGTAGCTTTCCGACCTGAGGTTAGACTAGAGACGCGGCGGCGCGTCAAAATGGACAGAATTGAGTCAAAAGCACAACTCACACGTTCGCTCCGAAGGCGAAGATGGGATAAATCAAAGTTAGGTCTGTAATTTGCGGTCAATTTGGGATCGGAGATCTTCCCAGTCAAGTTTCCACCAGGACGCCTCCCGGAAGAGTGACTTCAGCGGAACAATTTGCGGTTAATTTCAAAATAAGACATCAAAGTGAAACACAGAGAAAAGCGTTGTTTGTAGCTTTTAGATGTAAGAAGTCAGACATATCGCAGATATAGAAGACTGGATACGCTCGCCATTAAATGTAGCGTTATGGATTTATGCTCTTTTATGAAAGAGAAACCATGCTACGTATTAATTCGGAATATTAATTTTAATAAATCAATAACCACATTTTATATTGTTCAGAAGACTCAAAGGTTGTTTTCATCCATAAACTGCCGATAATATCTGAGTGTCTGTGTTTCAGTTCAATGAGGAAACAAGTTTGAAGGATTAAAAGTTTTAATTCTTCAAGTTAAACTAATGATTTTGAAAATTGACAAACAGGAAATAACAATCACATTGGCAACTTCGTGGGACAATCTTTTAACAGTTTATATGCTGTTCTTGCTCAAATAGACCTTCTGGTGAATTTATGAAGATTGAGAATGTTGTGACATGAATGCGTGTGTGAGTCTGATTTTGCTTCAGGAAGAAACAGGTGTCTGAGTGAAGTGATGGTTTGGATAAACTTAGGTCTTATCAGAGAACTGCATCAAACGCTAAAACCGTGCTCTGTCTCACCGAACTCTTGTGGACCCTCTTTCGGATCCGGGCCGTGGAGGATGTTGTGGTTCATCCAGATGACACCGGCGGCTGACAGGAGACGTAGGTGTCGAACGGAACCGGTCCAGAGTTGCCCTCGGTACACGTGGATGGTAGAGCGTTTTATCGATGCGCTTTCTTAAGTTAATTCACTCAGAAATCAAAAGACTCGGTAATGAGTCTGCGTTAGAAGTTGCGATTCAGCTATTCTGCCTGGCTTGGCAGAAACAGCGTGAAAGGGGGGAAGAACGAGCCAACAGGCTCTGCCCCCCCTTTGGTTTTCAGGTCTGTTCTCTCCCGTTGTCCAACACGAACTGCATCATCAAACTGAAAACTTACCAAAAACCTCTCTTCTCAAAGCAAAACATGTGCGTCATCAAATGTGTCTGGAGTTTACTGTGGGCAGATGTGTGTGGGTGTGTGTGAATGTTTGTGTGCTTGAGTGTGAAGGTCAGTACCACACATTCAACATTATCTACTTAAGTGTGGATTCATTAATCCATTATAATTACCCCAAAGCATACTAGTCATTCATTTGATTAAACACATTTATAATGAGCAAAATGATAATGGTTATTTTAACATTAAAATCACGAAAAAGAAGTTTAAACTTTATGTTTTGACTTGGTCTGGGTACAACTCATGTAAACACATCTTCTGGTAGACTGCAGGTGGCAGATGTTATGGTTTCCTCCCAGACTCGCTGGCGTTCAGGTCTTAATCTGTGGGTGAAAGTTCTCAGTGACCCAGCTATGACCCAGCTGCGTCCAACACCACCATTGTGACAGAAAACCCATATTTCCTCACGTTACAACACACACGGGTGCTCACATGGTGCTCTCAAAAGTATGGGCTTGGGCACGTTCAACACAGGTCTTAAGACTATGGTGGGCACTTAATGCACTGTGATTTATTATCGTGTGATTGTTCAGTTAAGCAATGTTGATTATATATTTCTTCATCAAGTTGACGCAGTGATAGCTTGATCTTGTTGTATTGTTGTTATGTCCCATTTTTTTTTGTTCTTTTGCTTTTTTGTCTTTTTCTGCAGGTCTAGAAGCAGACTCTTGTTCATTATTGTTTATTTTTGTTGACCCCCCCCCCCCCCCCTCTCCCCACCTTTTCTTTTCCTTTCTCTTTCACCTCTGTCTCCGTGTCTGGTTGTAGTTACAAAACATTCAAAAACAATAACAATAAAATTTGAAGTATCAGGCGTGACATTTAAAGCAGATGCTTTGATGCTCCACCTGAGAATGAATCTGTAAGGCTTGTTTCCAGCATTCAGACATCAATTCTGCTTGCTTCACAGCCAGACAGGACACGGTTAAAAAAAAAGAAAAAGAGAATGTGTAATGGGCTTTCCAGAGGATGTAACCATTCCCCACCGCTCCCACTGCTTAGCAAAACAATGCACACTAGAAAATGCATATTGGCTGTCAGTATAGACTGACAAAGGCTGACCAGAAGCCAGCTCACATGCTCTGGTCAGAACAATTATCTCAGCGGCCTGAGCTGAGAAACGAGGTGGCAAAGATTTAGCTTCAATCACATGGTTAGATGCTTGCACAATAGCATATCCTGTTTGAGTTTTACCTGCCTCTGTTTTGGAATATGATCCGCCCACAAACCATACCAAACTATCAGGGAGTGGTGTGTCCTTTAGATCGGGTCTGGGGAGCTGTAAATTATCAGTGGCTTTAATACAGTTATGTGGGTCCCCATCAGCTGGAGTGGGCAACAGGGTTGCAGGATTTAGGATGTTACATCGCTGAATAGTGATGTGGGGCTGAGACATCAACATGGCCGTGTAGCTCAGATATCTAGCAGGGGATAACAAACCTAATCTACCTTGCAACAACAACACGCCCACAGCATGTGGCACTAATAGAGTTAGAGGGTGGAACAGCACCACGTCTGCAGATTACAAGACCACGAGAGCTGCCGCTGATACTGCTTGGACACATACAGGTAAAGCTTGAGCTACCTGATCCAACTTCTTAGAGTAAAAAGCAACTGGCCTCTGTTTATCACCATGTTTTTGCAGAAAAACAGATGTCATGAACCCATTTTTACAATCAACAGTTTGAGTGAAAGGTTTAGAATATTCAGGCAAAACCAGAGTTGTGCTGGAATGGATATCTTGTTTTAGGTTTACAAAAGCTGCTTCTGTTAAGGGAGTCCAGGAAAGCTTATCATTCATTTCCATTTGTTGGCCATGAATCATTTCAGAAAGGGGCTGAGTTTTTTCTGCATAATGAGGAATGTATTGTCTGCAGTAATTAGCAAGACCTAAAAACTGCATCATTTGCTTTTTAGTCTGGGGTTTTGGGGTGTTCAAAATGGTTTCCTGTCTTCCTGACTGGATTTGCCTACCTTCACCCGTCAAAGTGTGTCCAAGATACTGGACGGTGGTTCTGACCCATTGCAGTTTGAAGATGCTTCAGCAAAGCGAGAGAGTCTCTGAGGCAAGACTCAGCATCATCTGAAGCAACCAAAATGTCATCCACATAAACAAGTGTAGCCCCCTGGGTTACCCAGTTTACCTAAAACCCTTCAATGGAGTAAACCAGGTTTGACATTACTTTGTATCCACATGAACAGTGAGGTGCATGTATAATGTTAACTGTAACGTTGCCACTTAAGTTATGCAGTTTACATTGAGTATTTTTCAGTTGAGAACAGGCTTCAGATGAGAAATGTTTGTTTCCATTTATGTGTGTATTATTGTTTTGTTGATTGTTTAGTCTAAGGATGTTGGACTGAATTTTAAAAAAATGAAAGCTGTGTAGGAGCAATAGCAAGTTATGAACACTAGGGGGAGCTTTGGGGAAAGTTCGAGAAGAGGGAGAGAGCGGGAAGGAGAGAGAGAGACGGCGGGGGGTTGAGAGGTTGGGACGGAGAAGCGGGTGAGAGGAGAGCGGAAGACAGCAGTGGAAGAAGCCCGGAGAGACCACCGAAACTTCAGAGCCGTAGCTGTGAACTACTTTTGAGTTCAGTAACAGAAACTACATCGGACCTAAAGACTGAAGAACGGTTAAAAAAAAACCTGGCCGGCTTGGAGGAGTGGGGACGTTGCAGTTGAGGAGCCGTTAAATGATTTCAACGGTGCTGGCGGCTTTAACGAGCCATAAAGCTTCTACCTGGGATAAGAAGGGGCAGAGACAGGGAGCTGGTTGGAGCAGGAGACGCAAGGAGAGTCGGAGGAGTGGTGTGGGGAAGTTAGCTGAGGACGTCTGGATTCGGGTTTCGGACGGAGGATACAGACACCCGTCGGATCGCTGAGGACATCGGGTTTCGTGTCTGTGTTCAGGATGCCTGCTCTGCGAATCTGTCAGGGCATCTGAAGGAAAGGTTTCGCATGACACAAAATCACCGCACAGGCCTGCAACGGAAAAAAAAACGCTACGGTACCGAACTTGGTGTGTGTGTGTGTGTGTGTGTGGGTGTGAGTGAGTGTGGGCCCACGGGTGGATTTAGATTGAACTTGGTATTGTTTTTTATTTATATTTTTTTGAGAAATGTATGGAGGTCGGTTAATGACCCATATTAGATATGTTCACTGAAAAAACTAACTGATTTGGTTATTTGATTCAAAGACATTTACAATTTTGGTAATTTGATTGCTTTCATGTTAACTGAACAGTTCCTTCATTCTAAGTGAGTTCTTTATTAAAGATTTTTTTTTTTCATTTAGAAAGTTGTCTGGGCTTATTCTGGGTTAAGTGATAATGCTAATGTAAGGGTTTGAGAGCAGAAGGAAAAGATTACTTTACCTTAGGTGAACGGCTAGGTTTCTACCAGAAATCAACGAACCCAAGAAGACACCCCACCTGTTTTAGATTCTAGTGCAGTTACTAGACTGGGTAAGGGGGTGCTACATAAAAAATGGAGGCACCGCTGGGATAAAATTATTATTATATATATATTTTTTGCATAAAATAGCCTTATGCCCAGACGATCAGTACCTAGTGCCACTTTGGGTGACTGTTACAGAAGTTACTGAAGTTTAATTAGTTTTGTTCCTGAACATTACAGAAGACACTTTTGTGGTTTATTGTTTGTTATTCTTGTGAAATGACAATATGAGTCAGTTACTTAACTGGTGTAAAGGAGAGGGTATTAACCCCTCACATGCTGTTTTGCTTAAGGGTGTCCCTGAAGACACAGAAGTTAGTGTCATAGAGGGCACCGTGCAGACCATTAAAGCTCTTGGACGTGTTAGAGTCAGAGGAAGAACATATGATCCTGTGTCTCAAAGTTTAACAGTTCTTTGTGAGTGCAGGGAAGCCGCAAAGACTGAAGCCATTCCTGCTGATGTTATGCCTGAAGGCAGTGATTCCCCTTGGCGAATCATTAGTCCAGTTGAAGTTGAAAAAGAGAGCCTTCAGCACGGAGAAGCTCCTTCACAAACACCAGACCCAGACACGAGCCAAAATTCGTTTTTCCAATCATCCAGTCCAGAGGCCATAATTAGAGCAGTAGGTGACATCTTACAGCTCACCTCTAAACCAACTAGTGACAGTAGCAGTTACAGACGACTCCGAACATTTTCGGGGGTGCTTCCCACACCGCTGGGAGAGGAACCTTTGGATAACTGGCTAGAGCAAGCAAGACTAATGATTGAAGAGTCAGACAAACCCGACAAAGAAAAGAAAATGAGAATAATGGAGAGTGTAAAAGGTCCTGCCATGGAGATTCTTCAGGCGGTGAGATTTAATAATCCAGACACAACTCCCACAGAATACCTAGATGTTATTGAAAACACGTTTGGCACAACAGAGACGGGAGAAGAGCTATACTTCGCTTTCAGAATGATGTGCCAGCATCCAACTGAGAAGCTATCAGAGTTTCTGAGAAGAATGGAAAGAATATTAAATAAAGTAGTTCAAAAAGGGGGTTTACCACTTGCCTCCAAAGACAAGGCACGCATTGACCAACTCATTAAAGGTTTCATCAGATCTGACATGATGATTTTAAGCTTGAGACTAAGAGAGAGAAAAATTGCCCCGCCAACATTCCTGCAGCTCTTGAATGAGATACGAGTGGAGGAGGAGCATGAGGCCTCCAGACGTAGGCTGAATCCCCCTAAATCTGTGCACGTCAAACGTACTGCTGCAGCTACAGAGATTGAGGCAACAGATCTTGGGGTGGAGGTTGAACGGCTGAGATCACAAGTGATTGAGCTCCAAGCTTTAGCCCAGTCCCAGCGTGCTTCTCCTTCTGCACCTCCACCTGCAATTCAAGCAGAGACAGTTAACTCTGAAGAGGACGGGAGCCTACAAGCTTTTAAAAGAGAGGTTGTAAAACTTAGAAAACAAGTCTCAGCAATGTCAGTCAAGTCTACTGCAGCACCCCAAGAGCTTTTACCTCTCAAAGATACCTCTCCAACTCCTGGGGCGCCGAGGGCATCCATGCCCCGAGACCCCAAAGACATTTTTTGCTACCGTTGTGGGGAGGTTGGGCACATTTCCACTAAATGTTTAACTCTTGGACTGAACTCGGATTTTGGTTTGATCTCCACAGGAGAGATAGAGTTCAAAAGGCCCACATCAGTCTGGCCTACAGACCAGAGCGTTTCAGGAATTTGCTTAAATTGCTCCTCCTCGCCATCTGATAACAACACAGAGTCAGTCTGTCACTTCAAAGGGTTAACAGCAGTTTCACACTGAAGTGGGACAATCAGAGGAAACCGATAGAGACCAGTGCTTTCACTGTACTGCCATAAATCCTTTTTATCAGGTTGAACTGGGGTGAAATCTGTGGCCTTTGATGCTATGCTAATCATGTATCCTAAGTCTTTCCAGCGTGAGGAGCTGCCTTTTGTCAAAGAAATGTGTGGAGGAGTTGGCAACTCATGAAATGCTTTCATGTTGGTAGGGAGTAACACAGAAGCCGCAGAGTCTGACTCTTCGTTTGTTATCAGATAGGAGGTAGCCAACACAACTGGGGACAAAGGTAAGAAAACTCTTTGATATGGTAAATATTGCTCTGGCCTGAGGGCCATAGTTACATGCAGCTGTGATAAGGCCATTTCATCTCTAGCTGTGTTGTTCAGCACCGGACGCAATGTTTTCAGAATAAGCTGTTTCAACTAGGTTTGTTTCAACCGAGACATGCAAAGAATAATATACGCCAGTAGGGTTGTGGAGGTAACAACAATCTTCAGCCACTCGAATAGCTCTCATACCATCTTTTATGGGGACAATAGAGATTTTTAGCACTGACATGAGGTCTCTGCCCAACAGATTTAACGGACAGTCTGGTGCTATGACAAGGGAGATTCTTTTTCCAAATCCTGTCACTGGATCATTCACCGAAACAGGTTTAGACAGAGAGGAGCGAGTGGTTTGCCCATCAGCAGTTTTGACCAATATGCTATTCCGAGAGCTGGGTAATGTCACACCAGACGATATCACAGATCGACATGCACCAGAATCACAAAGAAACTCAACTTTTTGTCCTTCAACATTAATTGTGATAAATGGCTTTTCTTTCAATATATTAAGCAATTCCCAAGCTCCACAGCAATCAACCACATCATTTTCCTCTGTCCAGGCCTCGGAATCTGCCACTAGCCATTGTTGAAAGTCATCTCCTCGCTCCCGTCTGAATCGGGTGTGATCCGGTTGGGGATTGATAGGCTCACGACTAGGTCGGCTCCCCTGTGATTGGAAACCTCTGCCTCTTCTGGGACCCTTATTGGGCTTTCTGTTATCCGGGCCATCTGACTGGGAAGGACAGTCACGTGACATGTGACCTCGACCTCCACAAATCCAACAAACGAGTGGCTGTGAGCGGTCTGGTGAAGACCACTGTCTCTGGTTGCTGCTACGACCACCTCCCTGACGATTAAATTTACCCCTGTTGCTACCTTGTTGATAATAATCAGCTCCTTCCTCAGTGTTATCAGCTTCTTCTAGGAAGATTTGTGGGCCTGTCTTAGGAGTTTTTGGTTTATTTTTATCCTGAATGACTTGCTCCGCATGTCTGGCATTTATCATCAGGTCGTCATTTGTACAAGTTTCCCAGTGAATGAAATGTTCTTTAATCCGTGCAGTAATCTCAGGCCGGAACCCTTTCAGCAGCTCAGCGCACAAATATCTCACATAAGCCCCATCCACATTATCATCAGGTGGAATGGCGCTGTGAATGTTGAACTGGGTCTGATATCTAGAACGGAAATCATCTACCGACTCCTCAGGTTTTTGTTTGATTGCAGACAACTGAGTTAATTTCGGAACTTTCTTAAAGTTCTGTTTTACATTTGTGACTAAAATGTCAAACTGGATCCTTAAATCTCCAATTAGGTCCCCTGTTGCTTGATCTTTCTCATACAAAGCCACAGCTCTGTTAGGGCATCTACCCGTATATTGGCCCCGAACCCTATGCCAATAGTTTTTTAAAAGCTAGCTTGAGCCAGCTGACCTAACTCATGCCCGTTCAAGCGATAGGAGTGAATTATTTCTAGCATGTCTAAGGCCCACTTATCTGGATCATCAGTGTGAGGTGTAACCTGCTCAGCGACTTCCCTTGCATCCTTAAGGGACCAGGGTCTAAACACATACTGCTGAGTCCCGTCATTTGTAGGGACCTGAACCATAGGATAAATCTCTTCTCTGGCTTCGTCATCTGAATCAGAGTGTTCCTCCTGATGAGGGGATGTGTATTCATGTTCTCTTCCCTCCTTAGCTTTCTTCCGTGTCACCATGCTGGATGGTGGATACGGTTTTTCTTGTTTGGGCTTAGCCCCTAATTGCTCTTCATACTTATTAGAGGGATAAACAGAAGTGTCAGGAGTTTTTGTACTGCCCATGGCCTTCTCCTCAGGAGGAAGAAAGCTCTTCTCTGCTGGGGGTGCAGTAGCATGAACTGTGGAGGGGGGTGTTTTAACAGCCTCCAACACGACAGCTCCCTGCTGGGGGCCTGGTGCTTGATATGGTGGAGGGGCGGAGTATTGAGGGATAGATCATCGCATAATTTCTTTTAACACATACACTTCTTTCCCTTTCTTTTTCTCTTTGCTTATTTGGATATCTCTCAGTCTTTTATCTGTTTCATCACACCAAATTGTTGCAATCTTTAATTGTTCTTCCTTAGCCAGCCTCCTTTTGCCAGTGGCTGCTGCAACTTTAACGTTGCATATATCAACTAAATTATGCCACTGGTGACCTTTTAATGCTCCATCCACTTTGTATTTTTTCTGCCATTTATCCATAAATTTCAAACTCTCTGGGTGTTTACGGGACATATAATTTAAATCTCCCTCCAGTTTGGTTCTAGACTTAGAATTTCCCATTGTACCTAAGTTATTTTGTACTGATTTTGTAAAGCAGGCTGGAAGAGCGCTGGCAACGTCTAATATGAATAGTATCAAAAATACAATCAATCAGACTGCTTATGCTTATATTAAAACAGTTCAAATTTGGCAAATACTCCCCCGTTCTTCCTCACACACTCAGAGCTTGTGGCTCACACACTCACTCGAACGCAGTGTAGCCCTCATTTACTCAATACCATTAAATAAATGGGCTTTGGGTTCTTTTTCTAGTGTACTCTCGTACGATATTCTTAAATTAACTTTTCTTTTGTTTCTGGGATCAATGAAGCTTATTCCTCAACAGTGGCACTACACGCGAAAATGAACACTAGTGTCTAGAGTGCAGTAAATCATATCATACACCATGTAAAGTAGAGCAATGTAACCCTCCTTTAATTTACCAAACAATGAAAACAATAAAATAATAAAATGGCAGGTTTCAGTATTCAGGCAAAGCAAAACACCCACAGCAATTTACCCATGTGTACCCAGAATCCCCACATACACAGTATAAACCACCATTGATAAAACAATTATAGTCCCAAACTAAACTTAAAGCCGGCAGAGATAAACCCTACGTTGCAGGCCTGTATTGCTCCAGTATAAATCCAAAACGATCTCCAAACCGGAAGTTCTTCACTCAACGAGCAAAAATAAATAAATAAACTCAGTACCTTGTGAAACGTGCAATTCCCACCAGATTAATCCAGGCAACAGGTTGTCTTCAGCTCCTTCAAAAGCACTCCGCTCTGAACGCAGTAGCCAAAGATGAGGAAGGTCCGTGATCTCCACATGCTCCACAAACTACTTGTTTTTAGCTTCCCATGTTGCCAGAGGTACTCAGAGTGACGCGGGCACTCAGAGTGACTATCTGGGGTCTGTCTGTCGCTATCCAGTCCGGTAACGATCCTCTGCAGCTTGTTTAAGTTCCACAACTTTAGCGAAACGGCAGTCTACAGTAGTCCTTGTTAGCTAATGGCTGTGTTAGCCTCACTTTAACTCAATGCATGCACAGCCGCAGTAAACACACAGTCCAGCAGACTCACGCTGAAACTTTACATGTTATGTCACTAGCTTACCGACACTGTGACTTATCTTTCCGAAAAGTCAAAACACACTTATTACTAGTACATAAAAACAAGCTAACTGCTCGGGATACTCTGTGTAACTCACGCACCACCACCATCTCTCCTCGCGCTCTCTCTTTCTCTTCCCTCTTTTTTTCTTCTTCCCCACGCTGTGTTACCTTCACAGACCATATGCCTGTAGGAAATTACAGTTCTCACAAGCAATTCACAATAAAAGAAAGATAACTTATTTTAAACAATGCAAACATGTTTTTACTCATTTGACATGAACTTTGATCTTTTTAATACACCAGAAAATTGAACAAATGAATTTTACTCTTTGATATTTATATTCTTAGACTTTGCTTATCTTTTACTACTTATGCATCTTTTTTAACCCGGGTTACACCAGCAAGACAGCAGCCGAACCAACACACACACACACAGCACAAACCTGCAGGTTTTATCACACACAAAATGACAGCTGACACCAATATTTCAGCAACGACTCACAGATCCACAAAGTTCTGCACAACCAGAAGTAGCCAGCCTGGCAACCCGCCTTACCAGAAACTCAACCAATCACAAATAACACACAGCAAAGGCAAATTTAGACCGACTTGGGATTTTTTGGTCAAAAGTAGCGGTGATTAATTTTGTGTACCTTCAACGCACCATAAAATATTTAAACAAAACAAGCTTCAGTGAGTTTACTTGAGTGATTTTGCACATTCCAACCCTATTACAACCCACAGTTACTTTCTCTATTCGTCATGGGGTGTCTGTGTACGCAGAAACAGACTCATTACAACCTCTCTCGCATTTACTCTGTTCCCTCAGAGGCAAACGAGAGTCAGTCGGCCCGTTCTCCTCTGATCTCTAGCATCAACGAGGCATTTTGGCTCACAGGACTGCCGCATACTGGATGTTTTTCCCTTTTCACACCATTCTTTGTAAACCCTAGAAATGGTTGTGGGTGAAAATCCCGTCTGGCACCAACAACCATACCGCACTCAAAATAGCTTAAATTACCTTTCTTTCCCAGTCGGACCTTCAGTTTGGAGTTGAGGAGATGGTCTTGACCAGGACTACACCCCTAGATGCACTGAAGCATCTGCCATGTGAATGGTTGGTTAGTTATTGCATTA